TTAAAGACTACTCAAAGCTAAGCCATTTCCGGTCAGTAGGAAAGACATGGTTATTTTAAGGTAAAATTTTCGAAAAAAGAATCCAGTCGAGGGGAGCTTTATAAGAACAATGGGCGAGCGCTCAGTACTTACCATACGGTGAATAGACTGTGGTTAAACCATAACTACATCGCAGCCTCCTGCAAAGGAATACAGAACCACTGTCTCTGAACCACAAAACATGTACTAATTTGTGCGTAACTTAGAGGTCAGATAGGACGACGCACCCACTAGACTGCATCGAGGATGCAGTAACGGGGTTAGTTTCAATCCTTTATAACTGCTTAAACTACCGCCGTCTCCTTCGAGCACGCCAATTCTGATGACAGCCATGACTAGTCAAATTAAACCTAAGCTGTGCGTTATAGAATAAATGTGTGTAAAGCTTCCGGGAAACAGCCATCGACTGACGCTTTTACCGTGATTCGTTTAGCGACATTCGAAAATAGACACACAAGTTACTCCAGCACTTATAATCACCCTTGAGGGAGAGTGTGCGCACCCACCGGTGTTCGTCCACGACTATCCTGTTCAACGCACAGAAGGGTACCAGCTGTTCTGAAGATAGCGGTAGTTAGGTGGTGATAACCAACTTAAGTTGCCAACCAGTCTTGTGATTTCAATTTCAGGACATTCAGCTCGTCTGTAGATTATCGCGTATGCCCTGGTGGACAAAATAGCGTCAACAATGGCTTTGACCCCACCGTCGGTACTGTATAGCTATGTGAAGAAAAAATCCGTATGTGTGCGGATGTGCAGTCGTGGACTGAGAAGTTGATTGAAACTGTTTCGCTAAAATTGTTAATGACACTATCAACACGTTATCCGTGGTCACAAAAGACCTGAGAGAACTACTTAGTTTGCGTCTAGTCCCAAGCAGGATCAGGTGCGTGTGTATGTGTGTGTGATTATGACAACTGTACGAAATATGTTGGATGGACAAAATATGTCGTGGCAGATGAAGACAAAAACCTAATTGTCACAAATCTAACGTTAGGAATCGAAAAGCGGGTAATGAAATGTACACCGGGTATTTACAATGTCAAGTCCTTAGAGAGAGGAAAGAAGGCAGCAAAGCAGTGTCGCAAGATGTAAACGCAATGTAGTCACTTTTGCGACTCACAACGTATATAGTATCTTGACAAAGTAAAAGTTGTGGGTCATTTAGAACTACTCGTTGTGTGAATGGATTACGACGCGTAATCTCAATCAGGACCGCGATTCACTTTGACGTCAGCTTTAGTCAATGCGGTCACTGGAACAACACATCTGAAGCAGATGACTGTTAGGCCTTGCCCACTCACCGCAACATAGTACCGGACGATCGGTTTCATACTCAAAGACAATCATCGGGTAGACAGATGAGGACTGTAGCTGGAACCAGGAACCTTTGAATTTGCAGCCGAAACTTTCACATGGCTACAATGTTCTAGCCTGTGCAGGTTTAATCATGTATTACTGAAAAGCACTGTACGCCTGTCTCATGATCTCCTTAAGTAGACGGAAGTTATGCCGTTGTTGATAACCAGCATCTGTTGTCCAGACTCATTGTTAAAATTCCGATTCAGCATTCCAATAGAACATGTTCCTGTTTCATACAGGGTCGTCACCTAATGGAAAGCGGCAGCGTTGCTTGATCCATCACCTCACTTTTTTTCACGAAAGCCCACTCCATCATAACGAGATTAATCTCGACGCTCCCTACATACTCTTACCTACTCCCGAAAACAGTATTCCAAGTCACCGGCATATATATATATATATATATATATATATATATATATATATATATGTTGAACACAGCCAACAGTACAATTAGTAAGGTACCACAACGTGTGGACGAAAATAATAATATAACAATTATAAGGAAATAGAGGTGACGTGCGACCAATTTTCTCCGGGCTGCGTTGGAGACATGTGGCCTCAAGGGCTGCTATGGACAGGCTCCCTTAACAAAATCTCACAGACTCTTGTCAATCTACTGGGAAGTGTTAGCACAGACATTTAGCAGGGGGTGCCCACCAGAAAAAACTGCACATTATGACCACTTACTCACCACGTACTCATTAGAATTCGTCAAGTGGAGATAGCATCAATGCGACTCGAACGCCGGACCTTAGCGATGTTAACAGAAGCCTGTAACCCCAAATTGGCGAGTCGCTGCGTGCAAAATTTCTCTCAACAGTTAATGAATAAGTGCGGGTCATCCCGAAGTATTCGTTGTGAGTGAATGTAGACACCCTTCGAAGTGAAGCTTGGTCAATCCGGTCACTGGAGTTGTGCCGGATGTTGGAGCCATTCCAATGAGAGCTTTGTCATTCGGGAACTTCAGGCTTGCCAGTCGGTCAGGTGGAAAACCTTCACTACAGAAGTTAGGGGACAGAGTCATTTATGATCAATTGGGATACGCATGTATCATCGTCCTGACGAATCATGAATGCAGGTAATTCACCGCACTAAGTCAATGCTCATCTGCATTGCGATGTGAGTTCCATGTTCTGTAAACTGATCAGAGCTAACTTTATGGGCGAACATAACAGACATTGCAGCACTCCCGTGGCTATTTCTTTCACTGTAAAGGTTCCTATTGGACCGCCTACGTTTCGTCATACCGTCGTTACAAGAACGCCAAGGAATAGCGTTGTATAAGCGGCCTACTTTCTGTGATTATAAGAAAAGGTAGCGGACTAACTTGTGTGCCCCGTGCGTTCTCTCATTTTCAGTTTCCACGTTCATCTACCACAATTTTTGCTTTTTCTCACCAGATGTCCAGGGCTTTGCACACGTCTTCAAGCTTCGAATTTTCGTTAGGCTCCGGGTGATAAGTTGGGATGCAAAATTCAGATCTGTTCCAGCCATTGTGCTATGCCGCGCCGATTCCAGTAGTGGTTAAACGTCATAAGGCCTGGTGGAGCCATATTGATAGTGAACTGGAGCGCAGCTGAGCTGACAATCACAGATGCATAGTCGTTCAGCCGCAACGAAGGATTCTGTTCAAGTAGGTTGGACAGTCTTGTAGTCTAGCATGTCCAGCAGGAAAACGAAATGATAATGCATCCCATTTTACATGAATACGGGGACAAAAACTGGTTAAACCAACGAAAATAAGGGTGGGGACCGCAGACAGCGGTCCATTGCCCGTGTGTGGTGGCAGCACCACGTAAGCAATGTGGAAGTTAGACAGCGTGTCTTGGGACGTGGAAGCCACTCGCTCGAGGAGCTCATCTCACTGCATCAACTGCGGTGGTTGGGACACGTATTGCGCATGCCTGTCCAGCGTTACCCCCGTCGTGCGTTGTTTGCACTTGCTGGACAGGGCTGGAAGAGACGGTCTGGTGGACAGCCTACAACATGGAGAAGCCGCATGAAAAAGTTGACGAAACAATTGGCCTCGGCCGGTTGTTGTCGACTACCTGGTTGGGGTCCCAGAGATGAGGATACTTGCTGGTTGAAAACCTTGGAAGTTATGGCTCAAGATCGATGTCAATGGCGGACGTGTGCATCAGTGTGTTGCGGTGTCCCTTCTTCCTTCCCCTAAAAAAGAACAAACTGAAAAAAAATTTCAAAAACTGTGAGTGGTAAACTTGACAAAAAAACATTTCTTGTTGCTCTTTTCTTATTATTCATATTGTTTTCGTATTCAGCCATGATTCCGATGGCACAATGTCTGTACCACAGATTGTGTATAATATATATATAATTCGTTTGTGTGCATGCTGTTTCTCGGAATATCTCACGTTCACAATCAGTGCACATCAGTGAATTGAACGCAGGCTAAAGCTAAGTACGCGGTAATGACTAACCAGTGACCAGAAACACCGATTATTGATCTACTGTTCAATGTTGCACACATGCCCTAGCTTCGATCAATCGGTGTTGCCGCAGCAGAACTCATTTGCGGATTCGTTCCCCCTTGCATATATTTGTATGATGCCTACCGAGACACTCTCCATCACTCGTCTTCCGTCTAGGTACACCGATCAATTGGTGATTGATTATCAATGGCTATCGGATTTCTTGGTTGCAATCATTAGAACGAAATGTGTGGTCGTTCGTCACATATGAGAAAAATCAAAAGCCAAAAAGCAAGGTGAAGGAGTACAGTGACGTACCGGGTTGGCAGTTTGCCCGTTCAACCCTAATCACTTTTGTGTTGCTCGCGACCAATACAACACACCGTGACCGCTTTCGTTCCTGGTTATAATGGTTGACAGGGATAACAACAGATAAGTGTGAAACCCTAGGTACTCCGAAATACAATCATGAACTTCTGAGCTCTGTGTCAATCGTTGTTCGCGGAGCTCAATGGCCTAGTGATTAGGACACCGGCAGCACACTACTATGTCCTGGGTTCCACTCCTAGGTTCGACTATCTCTACATGAGGAAGCTACACAAAGGCAGAACTAGTCGTGGACTGCCATGTAGGGAACCAACAACACCGACAACTATCTAACTCGGATATGGTCCTGATTATTGCAGTGGTCAACGTTTACTTTCTTGTTAATAGTGGTTCCAAAGTTGTGATGGCGTGTCAAAACGGTGGGTGCTGGAAAGCCCATCAAAAATGTCAGTGTGATTAGTACAGAAAAAGATTTCACACATCAGGCGGGTGCATACAAACAACTCATGTCAGATAGCCAACGGAACTCTGTATGTCCCAAACTAGATAAACCGATGCACAAGCGCGAAAAATAACAAGTGAACGCGAAGAGTGGTGATGGAAGAAAAATGGGAAGTCAGTTAACATTAGAGTCGAAGAATTATGGGTTGAAGTTTGGTGGCCGAAACAGTAAATCTGCGGGGCTCAAGGTATTGATTGGCTAAGTGGAGCGCTGGAGCATTGATGATGTAATAGGATATGATCCATATGAAGGACACGCGGTTTCAAAACACTATCAACATAGTGGTACCAGAACCGAAAAAGTGTGATAAAGTAACTTTACACTAGTAATTACAAGTATTGAGAAGGAGAAAACAGACAAGTATTGTATTTGGTAACCTGGATAAACTAACAGTAGGTAAATTCGGATTAGCACCGCAACCAATGATTTAATCCTTCTTGTCCTTGTGGTGTTCTAAGGGCTCAATTCCCCAATATTTCAACATGGACTCAAAAAACGGTGTTTTGCCGTCACCCCAAGGAAGTCTCTAAATAAGTACACTTTAACCGGATTGAGCACTGGTATTACTATATCCCGTGGAAACTTTCGATAATACGGCGGTCCCTCAATTTCTTCGCGTTCTTTTCGTTTGCGTATATTTTCGCGTGCATAAAGAGCAGTAAAAACAATTGATACCAAGCCCAGACCCGTCAGTCCGTTTAAAAGCATGCGCGTTCCTGTAGAAAGTTGGAAAAATAGGTGGATATACTTTTTGGAGCTACGTGGCATTTGTGAAAGTGAAGATCATAACATCTTCGTGATAGTAAGAGTGAGCTTGCAGGCCTCAGGAAAGTAGACATGAGGGACAGCTGAAAAAGATTTGAGAAAAATACAGATGAAAAGAGTAAAAGAGGATATCGGAAATTGGTATATCCTTCCGCGTGAGAGCACATGACAACGCTAAACAATTCGTCAATTGAGTTCGGGATCAAGACATGAGAAATTGATATTGTCATTCAACATCATTTTGTCTAGACCAATCACAAACTCGTAAGGCCAATCATGACTGACTTACTTTGAAAGCAACCGAGTACAAGAAGAAACGAAAGACTGGGCATTGTATAGGAGCTACTGAACGTCTGTATTACCGACTATTTCCAACTTGGTGGTCATGTATGCCAGCGAAATTGAAAGTAACGCCTATAGGATCACAAATACAAGAATGCATTGCTGAGGCTGCAATGCAATACAACATACCAATCCAAAGCTTTGGACAAGATAGGTGAATTACATGTTTGTTATCATAAAACAAAATTCAATTGGAAATAAGCACGACTTGGTCAGCAGCACATTCGGGGATATCAAGTTAACGACGAAGGAGTAGAATAAAAAAATGAACGATCTTGGATATGTCGATACCCCTGAATACCGGTGGAACGCTATGGATTTGTGTAGCTCAGAAAATACGCCCACAGATTGGACAGCGACAATAACCATCAAGTGAATCGCAGAGTACAAAATTCCCATTGTAACACAGCAGCATATACTTGATAACGCCATCCGTCACCATCCACTCTACACGTTAACTAGAAGTGAGAAACCTCTCAGCTATTGCACCGCAATAAAAAGCAAGCAAATGGAAGTAAGAAAAAACAACGATAAATAATAGTATGCGTGGTTTTGTTATGCATCGAGAAGCAGACACGTTCGAGAAGGCTAAGGCGGAGGTTGAGGGATAAGGAAATTCACAAAACAAATGTTACAGCTCCGAGCTTTAGCTCCAACCAAACTTGTTCATCGTCGTTGAGATGCCAACGCGGGATTCGCAGCGTATCTATCGAGGCCAAGCTGGAAAAAAAGAACGTTGCAAACATACCTGGAGTGAAAAGATCTAAATATGCGTAGCTCAAAGTTGTCAGTTGATCTCTGCTTCTATTCGTACCCCCGGATACACAAACTGACAACGCGGGAGTCCCTGTACTGGCGCACGTCACACATGACCAAGCCATCGGAACGTGACTCGTGGAATAACAGACTGATTGGTTCATAGCCTTCTCCTGTGCGGTAGCCAAGACACCAAACACTTTCACGTGGTGTCCCCACTGGATATGAGCCCGACAATGAAGACAACATTTGTTGAACGCGATTAGTCTCTTCACATCTATCAACCTGAATGGCCAGTTATCACAATCGTACAGGATAACAAACCGGTGGTAGCACTGTAAACTCTACTCCCCAAGATAATAGTGATATTGCGCCGACGTTAGACCATCGCGACGACGCTAGACCTTGAAGTGGTGCGATGCCTTGCCCACCTCCGTGACGCACTGAGCTATGCTGGGTGGTACATTTCAAGTGTCTTCAGAGCTACTCATATTAGGCAGGTCGATGGTTAGGAGTCAGACTAACAGAGTCTCGTGATCCCCTTCGGGAACTATACAGTCACACGTCGAGCGAAATTAGGGCAAACGACTGACTTTCCTCTTTGTTTGCTGCCACCAGCAGCGTTCGCCAAGGTTGTCCTATAGTACCTTTCCTCTTCAATTTTACCATCGAAGATGTCGTGCAACGAGTGCTAAAAGGTGCCCCGAATTGTGGTGTTTAGCTTCTCCATGGCGCCAGAATCGCAGACTTGGATTACGCCGATGACATCGCTTTGCTGGGTGACGATCTGTAAACCGTCCGAAACACCTTGAACCGCTTAGCGATTGAGGCATCCAATTATGGCTTGTATTTCACCCCAGCCAAATGTAAAGTGCTCTATCATGATCAGCAGGGGCCTGTGTTCGCGCTCACCATTGCTGGTGACATTCTGAAACAAGTGGATTGCTTCAGTTATCTAGGGAGTCGCATCACGACTGTTGGCAGTGTGGGAGATGAGGTTTCACAGCGTAATGCAAAAGCCCGCCTTGCTTTCATCAAACTGAGGCACCTATGGCGTCCTCGTGACGTCAGCCTCAAGCTCAACGACAGTGTGTACAATGCTTCCGTCCGTACGGTCCTGCTGTACGGCTGTCAGACATGGCCTGTTCGTTCAGAAGAAATGAGACGACTGTCAGTTTTTCAAAACCGTTGTCTGCAAAGGATCGCTCGTGTGTGGTGGCAACATCACACAGGCAATACGGAGCTTCGTGAACGAATGCTTGGAGCGAACATCCCCAGTCTACAAAATGTTGTTTTCCGACAACGCATGCGCTGGCTCGGCCACGTACCGCAGACGCCATCCTATCGCCTACCCCGGCGAGAGTTATTTGCGTTTCCCGAAAGCGAATGGATAAAGTATCGCAGTGGACAACCAAGGACGAGGAAAAGGAGCATGAAGAAAGCAGCCCCAAGCTTACCTTCAGTTGCATCAGCGCGCCTTCAAGGTTGGGGAAGACGTGACTCGAAATTCATGTGGATGCAAACGCTGGATGTGATGCCACGTAACAGATATCGGTGGCGCCAGGGTTGCAGTGCCGTTTTAGCTGTTGATCAATCTCAACTATAAAGGCATACATTTAAACAAGAGGCAAAACGGCGTGTGTGAAGTACAAAAAGAGCAGTCTTTATCTTGATTTTTCCGTATTATTATTGTTATCCATTTTGACATGGTTCTGATGGCACTGACCGTACGCAGAACTATGAATATATGGTTGGCGGCATCCGGTTTCGGATTTACCTGTCACTGTGGCCAGCCACAGGACGCCTGTGCCTACAGAGGGACCATGGGTGGCTTGCGCTGCACCACCCACAGCTCCAACCACACACCCCATATCCAGGGTAAATTCGAAGGAATAAGACCGGGAGGCATGCGGATGGGAACCACGTTTCATCAACGGAGCCGGTCCACACTCCTTCACAGACAAACACAAGCACGCGGTGTTTGGGAATCAAACGCATACAAGACGGTGGCTAAAAGGTAGTCCGCTACACACTGAGTGCATGGAACCATTCTTTGATCCTAACACGGCCACAAAGAACGTGCACCCCGTCCCTCAAGCAACGACCAATTGTCTCCTGGAGCCAGTATGGACGTGGTTGTGGGTAATAGACAGGTAGACACCTTGTCAAAATGCACATCAATCGCAGCCACACCGTGGATATCAAGCAACAGCCAATCGCTTGAGTGAAAGATAACATAAATCAAGCAATGCATAAGAAAACAACCCACCATCAATACGGGGCTCCACACGAACACCGTAATCACAAGCCGCATCAAACACACGACCTCATATATATATATATATATATATATATATATATATATATATATATATATATATATATATATATATATTGATGGTGGGTTGTTGAACATACGTCGTTTCGGTGCGAGAACCCTAGTCTGTGAGATAACTATCCGTATGCTGCTGTTCGCTGACGATTGTGCGTTGTTTGCACACAGCGCGGATGAGTTGCAGCACATGACTAGTGTTCTGGATTCGACAGCGACCAAATTTGGGCTCACCATCAACACAAGCAAAACTGTCTGTCTCTTTCAGCCTTCACCGGAGGTGCAATCTTCAGTATTGTCGCGAAACAGCATTGGTGATGACGTATTGGAAAGCACCTCCCACTTCTGCCATCTTAGGAGTGTGATGTTGACTAACCAGCAGCTACACAGTGAGCTGCGTATCCGCGTCTCGAAGGCAGCGGCAGCATTCGGGAAGCTTGAGTACCGAGTGTGGAACAACTATCAGCTTACCGTTGGCGTGAAGCTAATGGTGTACAATCCATGGTGCTGCTCGTTCTTCTATAGGGCAGCGAAACGTGGACGATGCACTGGCGGGATGTGCGAATCCACGAGCGGTTACATCAACAGTGCTTGCGACGGATTCTGCGCATCGGTTGGTGCGACAGAGTTGCAGACACGGAGTTGCGCTGATGCGGAATGTATACAGTTCACTGCATACTTTTGCTGAGCCACCTGAGGTGGCGCAGTCATATGTGACGTATGGATTCGACGCGGATACCGAAGCAAATATTATATGGTCAGTTGAGTTTGGAGATGCGGTTTATGAGGAAAGCGAAATTTCGTTACCAGGGCATGATCAAAGTGAGCCTCACGTTCTAAGCTAGATTGCAAAACATGGCAATCGAAGGCGGTTGGTCAGCGTGAATGGCGCGATCTGATCACGAAGGCAGTTGCCATGGTGCAAGAGAAATCCCTCATGCATGCGAAGAGGCGGAAGTTGCGAAAGCGACAGGCGCCGATGGGTTGTACTCCATCGACAGCGAGCGCATGGTGCTGTAGCACATGCGGTCGCGAGGGACTGAGTCACGCAGGTATAGTGAGCCATGAGCTAGGCAACTTGGGAGCACCACCGAAGCGATGACGGGGCTCAGAGAGAAGGTAGACAGAACCGGCGCAGCATTTGTAGGTACGCTGCATTCGATTTACTAACCGCGTGCTTGCAAGCTGAGTCTCTTTATTTCAAATGGTGGGTTTGCTATATTGTTCTAATGCTTTTTATCACATATTAATGTCTACGTGAACTATTTTCTATAAACTTGAACACGTCGCTTAAGATAATTGTAGTTAAATTCGATAACATTTTCGTGTTTATGACAATTTCTTAAAATATATTTTCAGACGTCCTGAATCTATCACCGTTTTGTCAGCAACCAATTTGTTTCATTTGCTCATCTATTGAAGTGTTATGTCAGCATATCTGTATGCACTGCTCGATTTATTTTACTTGACAGAATCGTCTCAAGTGGTTGGCTGTTGGTTGATATCCCCGGAGTGGTTACGCTTGACGCGCATGTTGACAGTGTCTGCTTGTCAAGTACCCACTACTTCGTCCATACTGGCTCCAGGAGACAATTGGTCGTTGCTGGAGGGGACAGGGTGCACGGTCTTTGTGGCCATGCTAGGCTGTTTGGAG